CCCTACCCCACTATGAATCAGCCTCCTTATATCAGAGAAAACATTGGGCATTTGTTTTGGGGGGGGATTGACTAACTTCACTTAGCATTATCTTCTCCAATGTTATCCATTTACCTGCAAATGCCATGATTTTATTCTCTTTTATAGCTGAGTAATATTCCATTGTGTATATATGCCACATTTTTTAATCCATTCATCTACTGAAGGGCATCTAGGTTGTTTCCACAGTTATTGGGAGCAAATTTTTACCCCTCACACATCAGATAGAGCACTAATCTCTATGGCATATAAAGAACTCAAAAAGCTAAGCATCAAAAAAACCAAATAACCCAATCAACAAATGGGCCAAGGACCTGAACAGACACATCTTAGAAGATGATATATAATCAATCAACAAATATATGAAAAAATGTTCTACTACCTTTCCAATTTCCTGTGAAAAAAATTTTAAGAGAAGGAGTATTTGAAAATGAGATAATTAAGAAAAAGTTGAGGGCTGAGGTTGTAGCTCGGTGGTAGGGTGGTAGAGAAATGCAAATCAAAACTACTCTAAGATACCATCTCACCCCTGTCAGAATGACAGTTATTATGAAGACAAACAACAATAAGTGTTGGCGAAGATGTGGGGAGAAAGGTACACTCATACATTGCTGGTGGGACTACAAGTTGGTGCAGTCAATATGGAAAGCAGTATGAAGATTCCTTGGAAAATTGAGAATGGAACCACCATTTCACCCAGCTATCCCTCTCCTTGGTCTATACTCAAAGGACTTAAAAACAGCATACTACAGGGACACAGCCACATCAATGTTACAGCAGCACAATTCACAATGTTCAATAGATTTTTAAAGTAACGCATTCTACTCCTTATAATAAAGGTATAAAAACCTCATAACAAATATAATCAGATAATATGAATACCAAACATCATTGTTAAAATACCTCAAAAATTGGTATTTTAAAATTATTTTTAATTTAATGAAAAACTGCCATATACATCCATTTAACCAAATTTAAAATAGCTTAGTATATTACTTTATTTCCTTAATGCTTAAATCTTGATCTCATCAAAATATGATATTTGTCTTTAAATATTAGTTTTATTTATTTTAGAAAGTCTAAATTTTTAAAATAGTATCTTATGATCAAACATTAAGCTCTTTACAATTTTCAAGATTCTCTTCCCTACCTGTCTTCATGCTACATTTAATTTTAAATAAGCATATCTGTTCAGGAATTGATCTTGAGTTGACACAACTGAAAATTATTTTAACTATTAAAGGCAGTAAGATCAGTGCTCGGATTACAAAATGAATAAGATTTAGAACTCATCTTTATGAAGTTCATAGTAGTAAAATAAAAGTGCACACAAAATTATGTTGATTTTTCTAACATGCCATAGTGTCAGTGATAAATTTTCTACCAATATTAATTTATTACTTTTTCTACCAATATTAATTTATTAATTTTTATTAATTTTTAAATTTATAAATTAAATTTATAAATTATAATTTAAAAATTTATAAATTTTTATTAATTTTCTACCATATATTAATTTATTACTAATTTCAACTAAATTTATCAATTTCTCCAAAACACTTGTCTCTAACTTTCCCAATTGTGACACTCCTTCCATGCAATATATTAGTAATTGCCTCTTTTTCTTGCTCCCCATAATCAGCGAATCATTAATCATCAGATCAAATGAATTTGTCTTTTACATTCATCTGTKCATTTTTCTCTTCTGCTATCATAGTTCTAGACTGTAGATTTTTAGAAGGGAGTTATTGCAATGGACTTCCTTTCTTTTCCCTCCATTTTTTTTTCTTTCTTCTCTTCTCTCCCTCTTTTCCTCTGTTCAGGGCTTTGTGGGCCTTGCACATGCTAAAGCATATGCTTTATCACTGAGTGTCACCTCCAGTCCTGCAATAGCTTTTCAAAAACTTCTACTACCTTTCCAGTTTCCTGTGAAATTTTTTTAAGAAAAGGAATATTTGCAAATGAGATAATTAAGAAAAAGTTGAGGGCTGGGGTTGTGGCTCAGTGATAGAGCACTTGCCTAGTGCATGTGAGTCTTCAATTCTCAGCACCACATAAAAATAAATAAATACATAAATAAAGATATTGTGTCCATCTACAACCAAAAATTTTTTAAAAAATTGAGTGATAGTGTTGAATGACAGGAGAAAAGGTTATAACTCCCTTGACAAGGATGGAAGAGCCATTGGGCCAGACAGTAGGCATTAGATTAAGACATTGCCACTTTCTTCTATGACATCTAACCATCATTTTTTCAGAAAAATAGAAGGGACATTGGAAGAGTAGAAGTGTGCTTTGCAGGTAGGGGGACACATTGGGGAGGAAGGAGGCAAGGGTAAGGGGAAGAACTGGGGAATGTAGTTAACCAAATTATTCTAGGTACATGTATGAATATATCACAGTGCATTCCAATTTTGTATGTAACTATAATGCATCAAGTGAAAAATAAGTTACATAGAAGGAAGACCAATAGAAAAGAGGAAGGGAACCAGAGAGGAAGCAAAGGAAAGGGAAGAGGTAATTAGTATTAGGATTGAAATGGAGAAAACTATGTTACTTCTTTTATGAATATGTCAGAATGAACTCTSCTTTTATGTATAACTATAATGCACTGAAAAATAAACTTTAAAAAGTCAAGGATAAGACAAATTCAAGAATTGAAAATTCATGCAGTGGCTCCGGAGGCTGAGACAGGAGAATTGCAAATTCAAAGAAGCCTCAGCAACTTAGTGAGACCGTGCTTCAAAATAAAAAATATAGAAAGGGCTGGGGATGTGCTCAGTGGTTAAGTGCCCCTGGGTTCAATCTGTAGTACCAAAAGAAAGGAAAAAGAAAATTTACCCCTTTGGAATCATATCACTCAATATAAAGGTAAGTCTAAAAATGTTGCTGTCAAATTAATATATTTATTCATTTATTTGATGGTACCCTCCTAATGAATGTTCTATTCATTAATAAGATTCATTTGCCTGTGTGGGGGTGTGTGTGTGTGTGTTACTGACATTGAACAGGGCCTTAAGCACACTAGGCAAGCATTCTACCACTGAGCTACACCTGCACTGTGTTTAGCCTTAGTTTTTAATTTTTTTAAAAGCCAGCTACTTATTCTACCTTTTAAAAGTCTTGGTATAATACAAAAACGTTTGTAATCTGAATAAAGCTGTCCATGAAAAAATGRAAAAACCATGATGGTGATACATCTTATTTGATGTATCTTAATTAATTCTTATTTGAAATGGGTTATTTACTTCAGGGGAATTGCTGGAGTCTAATTTGCTATTAAACCATAAATTACACATATAATATGTGAATATGTTCTTATTATTAAAAATATCAAATAGGCACTCTCACATCAGACCAATCTTTGTTGTTATCTTTGTTATTTACAGGAGTCCAGTTACTTGCTCTTTTAGTTCCCACTTTGATTTCTTACCTGCTGGATGAAAATTCTTTTGCCTCAGCAAGTTCAGTTTCTAAAGATCTTCATGAGTTTGCACTCCAGAACTTAATGCATATTGGACCTCTGTATCCACATGCTTTCAAGACGGTAATGGGGGCTGCTCCTGAGTTGAAAGTGCGGCTAGAAACTGCTGTTCGAGCAAGCCAAGCCAGCAAGGCTAAAGCTGCTGCGAGGCAGCCAGCTCCGACCATACATTCTGCACCGACAATCAAGCTAAAAACAAGCTTTTTTTAATGTGTTCCTCCACTCATTTTTATATGTATTTCACCTAATTAGTGGTAGCCACTGTTCCATTCCAGGCTATGGATTCTATTTTATTTGTATATTGGTATTATAATGCTTCCAAGTAGGTTAAGGAAGTCTTGTTCATACCACTATTGATTCTTAAGGGATTTTTAAAAATTACATGGTATGTTTTCATTTTTCTGCTAATAATGTTTCTCTTTTATTAATTTTTCATTGTTTTGTTTTTGGTTTTTGTGGTGCTGGGGATTGAACCCTGCGCCTTGCACATGCTAAGCATGCACTGTACTACTGAGCTATACCCCCAAGCCCTAATTTATTTTTTAAACACTGAACCATAGTCTTTTACATGCTGAATACATAATTGTATCGGGTACTGGGACAGACTGTGGACATTATCAGGGGAAAAAATAGGTCAAAATTTGGCATTTGTCATGAAAAATTCCATTGCAAAATAAGTAAATTTTAAATTTTCAAGAAACCAAAATAATATAAAGTCTCTTTCGTGGTGTACCTACTATGAATAAAATCACATTTTTTAAACATTTCTCAAAATATTCTCTTCTGATGTATCTTTTCACTTTAATATTAAATTACTAAATTGTGTTTGTGTATATTTTAGTTGTTAATTGAATTAAAGTTCTTATCTAAAGGTCCATTAAAATGTTTCTGATGTAGTATAATGTTTCTACCTTTTTTATGTTTTGTAATTACAGAGACACAGGTTCTGACTGTGATGGTTAGTTTCATKCATCAAATATTTATTGAATGCCTACTGTGTATAAGGCATCAAGCTAAGTGCTTCAGAGCATACAAAAATGAATTAGTCATAATTATAGTTATGCTAGTCTCTTATGCGATGGGAATTTTTCCTTGCAAAACAGATAATTGATTAAATGAATGTATACCACAGCATTTAGCAGATTTTAAACACCAAATTTTACCAGACAATGTAACATAGACTATATCAAAAGCAAGTGACTTTTCTGAACATTTCAAGCTATATATTTATTTATCACCTGCTACTTGCCATTTATTCTCATCATACCTACACCATTTGGCAGCTAGCTTATAGATCCTTGCTTTCCTCCTGGCTCAGTCTTTTAAATACCTCAGAAAGTCACTTTCTCTCACCTGTTTTCTCACTGACTTTTATTTCTACAGAGTTGTTTTTCGTTTCTGATTTGAGTTTCCAAAGTTATTCTTCTTGTTTCTTTGTTCTTGTTTTTAATTTTGATAAAAGTCTATAAAATGACTTCACATATTGTACAATTCATCTATTTAAAGTGTACAATTCATTTGTTTTTATTATAATCACAGGGTAGTACAACTCTCACTATAGTTAATTTTGAACATTTTCATTACTCCCAAAAGAAACTCCATATTCTTTACCTGTCATCTCACAATTTTCCATTTCCCATCAGCCTTAGGCAACAGCTAATCTACTTTCTGTCTCTATAAATTTTCTACAGTGGTATTTCATATGAATGAAATCATATAATATGTGGTCTTTTGTGACTGATTTCTTATCTGTGCATAATATTTCAAGGCTCATCCATGTTGTAGTGTGAATCAGCAATCCATTCCTTTTTATGGCTGAATAATTCCATTGTATATATGCCACATTTTATCATCAACTGATATATTTTATGAGTTGAAGGACATTTGGTTGCTTTCACTTTTTGCCTGTTATGAATATGATGCTCTGAATAATTATGTACCAGTTATTGTGTAGATATAAATATTTGTATACTTACATATATATAATTTTTTGTTTTTGGTACTGGAGATTGAACCCAGTGGTGCTTAACTACTTAGCCAYATCCCCAGCCTTTTTTATGTTTTATTTTGAAACAGCATCTCACTACGTCCTCAGGGCCTCACTAAATTGCTGAGGTTGGTCTTGAAATTTCTATCCTCCTGCCTCAGCCTCCTGAGTCACTAGGATTACAGGTGCACACCACCATGCCCAGCTGGATACATGTTTTAATAWCTTTTGASTATATCCCTAGGAGTGGAATTGCTGACTCAAATAGTAACTTTATATTTAACTTTTTAAGGCACTGCCAGACTGTCTTCTAGTCTCATTTTTTGCACACATGCATGTGTGCACGTATCTCCTTTTCAGTCATCTATTTATATAATATATTTATTTCTGCCTTGGCTATTTTTTGCTGTTCTTGGTACCTCTCAAACTTTTCCCATCATTACCCCTTTTAGGGTAGACTGCATCATATCTTAGTAATGTCTCTCTTCCCCTCCTCCCTGCCTCTCTCCTTTTTTTTCCTCTCTCTCTGTTAGTACATCTTTATTTTTTCTCTAAACCTTTTTAAGCTATTGATAACTTAAATTCTAGTTTTCTACAATCAACTATAAAAGGAAATTCTGTTTGATGCTTTGTATTTATTAATATTTCCCCAGCCCATGAGATTTTTACAACCCAAATAATCATATCTATTTAGATTATAACATCCAGTGTCATAAAGCTAAAAGAAGCAGCAGCATTATAGCCAGTGAATTCTGAAGCATGATCTAAGTAGTTTAAATAGCATAAGCAATAAAGTATCTTCTGTTTGCTTTCCAAGTTCTCATTAATCAATATTATAGGTTTGGCTTCTCAATTTATCTAGAGAAAAATAAGCTCTGAAGTCAGGTGTCCCTGTTGAATAGATTCTACTAGTCATAGGGATAAAATACAGGACCACATCTACAAAATGAGAGGAAAATTTACTAGATATTTTTTCTTTGATCTTTTACATATCTAAAAAGTACATCTGTCTTCATAGTTATCTGCTTATTTTTATCAAGAGTGAATCTTTGAATAATCCTTTAATATTGACAAATAATAATATTAGGTTTGATAAATAGTCTTTACATGTGTGTAAAATTGTTGTTATAGTATGAGAGCATAAAACATTAAATATGTAATGCAGGCACAGAAATTATAAAGTATTGCAGATCATGGGGCTTGGGTTGTGACTTAGTGGTAGAGGGCTTGCCTAGCACATGTGAGGCACTGAGTTTGATCATCAGCCACATAAAATAAATAAATAAATTAAGTTGCAAAAAAAAAAATATTGCAGATCATTACTATCAGTAAAAGCTGCCATTTCTCAGCTGGGGCTATAGCTCAGTGGTAGAGCGCTTGCCTAGCAAGTATGAGGCCCTGAGTTCGATGCTCAGCACCACATAAAAATAAATAAGATAAAAGCTGCCATTTCTGTTGAATGCCAGACATTGTGTTCAAACAGTACTGAATGATGGATATAATTAGCCAATTTCCAAAACATTTAATTTATGAAATAACTATATGTATTACTATTCCTTACATTTGGGGGGGTGGGTATCAGGGATTGAAGTCAGGGATGTTTAACCACTGAACCGCACCCCCACCCCTTTAAAGAATTTTTTGATTTTTTAATTTTGAGACAATGTGTCACTAAATTTCTGAGRCTGACCTTGAACTTGCAGTCCTCCTGCCTCAGCCTCCTGAGTCAGTGGGATTACAAACCTGTGCCACCATACCCAGCTACACATTTTCTTCATTCTTAATTGGAATTTTTATGTTTGTGTAAGAAATGGCTAAAGTATAGCTATAAATAAATTTCTTTCCTTAATACTTTCCATCAGATGGGTTATTTTTAAAACCTGATTTAATCATTATAAGTTCATCTCTAGTTCTTTCTTATAGAGCTCACAGAATTTTACTTAAGAATTTTATATATTAATCATAATTCAGAAAAACCATCCCAGGTTTTTATAAAAATTATCCTAAGCAAGCATGTGATAATCATATCTACCAGTGACAAGTTACAACTACTCTTTCTTTCCCATTTACTCTATTCTTTTCCCAAAGAGGAATTTGTTTACACCTTTTGTCCGATATCCACAATTCTCTGTCTCTGTCATTGGAACTCATGGCTTTCTACCTCAGTATGTTCTCATACATATACTTGTCTTTTCCCCTACCCCACTATTGTCAATTCTAGTCAAAGGATCCATAGAAATTTAAGTGGACTTCTTCGAGTATTCTGACTTCCATTATTGATACTTTCTTCCTTTTTTTTTCCTTTGTTTTTGATTATTTTCTTTACCTCTTTCTTCATTTCAAATTATTTCAAGTTAGATAGAAAAATGCCTTTTGTTTTGTTTATGAAACAAAAAAGGGCTTTAATCTTTTTTGTTGGTTGGTTGGTTGGTTGGTTGGTTGGTTGGTTGGTTTTTTGGTACTGGGGATTGAATCCAGGGGTGTTTACCACTGAGCTGTATTGTCAGCCCTTTTTATTTTTAATTTTGAGTCAGGGTCTTGTTAAGTTGCTGAGCATTTTTGCTGAGGTTGCTGAGGCGACCTTGAACTTGGGATCTACTTGCTTCAGCCTCTGGAGTTGCTGGGATTACAGGATAGTGCTACTATGCCCAGCAAGGGCTTTAATCTTGTCCAATGAGCATATAAAGAGACTCAGAGGAAAAAGGAAAGTCAATTTTATATCTTGTTATGAATTAATTTATTTCAATCATTAAGTTTA